CAGTGGGCGGGTGGCCTATATTGGGACAGTCGGGTGGCTATAATGAGACAGAATTTGATTGGAAGGACGCGTTTGTGAAACACGTGATTATATCTAAATCCTCGCCGGTATTCGCGCTGTCAGTTTCCGACGACTCTATGAATAGTCTTGTGAATCGCATTCATGTAAGTATTCATTACTTTGTTTAATATGTAATTTAATTTAAATGTTCAAATCTAATGAATATTTAGTTCTCGANTTGATTGGAAGGACGCGTTTGTGAAACACGTGATTATATCTAAATCCTCGCCGGTATTCGCGCTGTCAGTTTCCGGCGACTCTATGAATAGTCTCGTGAATCGCATTCATGTAAGTATTCATTACTTTGTTTAATATGTAATTTAATTTAAATGTTCAAATCTAATGAATATTTAGTTCTCGAGGCCAACAGATTTCAGAGGTTCAGGTTTCCACCGGAGTCATTTTCTAAATCCACACGATTATATTGATTATTTTAGAGGCTACATGGAGTATATGCTTCAATCGGCGCTACTATACCCGCGGCTCATATCGTGTGTTTGATTTTATCTGTAACAATTATATCACCTCAAACTTTGGTTTAACCGAGTCCATTAAATTATAAATCGTAAAATTAATTTCTTAGACATTTAAATGAAAATAAGCAGTTTTCACAAACGGATGTGTTTTACGAGAAGGTATCCTTCAAAAAGTTTAATGAATTGATGAATAATAGTGTCGATTGGCTCAACATAACAAACACTGTATACAAGGAATTGAATGAAACAATTCGTATGAAAAGCGATGATTTGGTGATCATTCAAGACATTAATTATTATATAAATGTGACACAACTGTTGACCACAACTCCCAATAGAGTTATTTCCAACTATTTCGGCTGGAAATTAGTTATGAATTTGGGCTCACATACAACTAAACAGTTCAGGGATATTAGATTCAAATTCAACCAATTATTTACTGGAGTGGAAAAGGATGTCGAGTTGTGGAGGAGCTGTACGGCCAGCATATCGTCTCAATTGCCATACGTTTTGAGTCGTCTATACGTCGACCAACACTTCACACAATATGATAAACAAGAGGTTTGTTATATAATTTTGAACACATTATATACAATATTCATTAACTCCTAAGATACTGAAGTTTTTATGCATTAATTTTGGCATTAATTTAGGTTTTAAGGTATATCCGAGACGTTAAGAAAGCTTATTACGAGTTGATTGAAGGGAAAGGCTGGTTGGATATGATCACCAGATTACAAGCTTTTGGGCGCCGAGTATAGCACACAAACTAAAATAGACATTGTTAATATAGTGGAGTTTGAAACCAAATTGGCTCAGGTAATTTAATATTTAGCATTTTAATTAAAGAATCTGTAAATTTACTTTTATTCTAGTTTTCACAAACGGATGTGTTTTATGAGAAGGTATCCTTCAAAAGGTTTAATGAAATGATGAATAATAGTGTCGATTGGCTCAACATAACAAACACGATATACAAGGGATTGAATGAAACAATTCGTATGAAAAGCGATGATATGGTGATCGTTGAGGATAATTATTATTATATGAATGTAACACAACTGTTGACCACAACTCCCAATAGAGTTATTGCCAACTATTTCGGCTGGAAATTAGTTATGAATTTGGGCTCACATACAACCAAACAGTTCAGGGATATTAGATTCAAATTCTACCAATTATTTACTGGAGTGGAAAAGGATGTCGAGTTGTGGAGGAGCTGTACGGCCAGCATATCGTCTCAATTGCCATACGTTTTGAGTCGTCTATACGTCGACCAACACTTCACACAAAATGATAGACAAGAGGTTTGTTATATAATTTTGAACACATTATATACAATATTCAATAACTCGTAAGATACTGAAGTTTTCATGCATTAATTTTGGCATTAATTTAGGTTTTAAGGTATATCCGAGACGTTAAGAAAGCTTATTACGAGTTGATTGAAGGGAAAGGCTGGTTGGATATGATCACCAGATTACGAGCTTTACATAAATTAAATACAATGAATGAGCTTGTTGGATACCCCGATTGGGTGCTCAATAATCATGAACTGGACAACTTTTATCAATTTGTATTTTTCAGTAAGAGGTCATTCAATAAGTAGTTACTCAAAAATGTGTACAAAAATCTATTCCCTACTTAATCCCCTCGTATATATGACTTTAACATAATTACACATGTCTAGGCTGATCCCCCTCTCCCAACCAGTGCGTACGTACTTATTGAATAATCGCTAATCATTATTTGTTATAATGTTTATCGTTTTACTGACTTAAATATAAATCTACAGAAACATAGAGTGAATCCCAAGAAGTCATTCGAGGCTATGGTTTATATGCAAAGCAATTGTGTCGCACGAAATATGAGATCAATTGGACAGCCCGTGGACATCACTGGAGAGCAAGTATTTAAGTAACAAACTAATTGATTACTTAAATTATGCTTTACTTACCTAGATGGCCAGGCTCACCTATCGAAGTAAACGCATTTCACGACCCCAAATCCAATTCAATCAGTAATAAACATATAAACAGTGGTTAAATGAATCACTTTTAAAATAAATTCATTCAATAAAATAATTTAGCTTTAGTGTAGCATGATGACATTATAAATATTTTGAAAATCTATTTGCTTTGAATATTTTATTTAAATAGTTAAATATTTTTAAAATCATATTTATTTCTTTTTATTTATTCTTAATAAGTATTCCCGGCTACTATTCTGAAGCCACCCTTTCTATATAGCAATGGTCCGGCTGCTATCAACTATGGGGCCATTGGATCGGTAATTATATTTTAATAATATCGTACTGTATGGACAGGATATTTGTTAAATAACACAAATTGTTACAGACTATTGGACACGAACTTACCCATGGGTTTGGTGGTTGGGGTCAGTATGCAATGATGTTTAACATTTTCAGTAAGATTCATATGTGATATCATACCTAGGTCTTAAATACGATTCAAATGGAAATCTAAATAATTGGTTCACTATATATTCAGATGCAAAGTACGATGAAAAGGCAAATTGTTTTATCCAACAATACTCGAGTGAATACGTACCGGAAGTTGATATGAATGTATGGATAAGATATAGTGGGGTTTGGGATGTGTTTCGTATATTAGTGTTAATACAGTTGTCATGAATTGAATGATTAGTTGAACGGAAGGAATACTTTGGGAGAGAATATTGCGGACAACGGAGGCCTCAGAGAGTCGTTCCGCGCGTTTCAGACGTACGTCAAGACATACGGAGAACCACTACGACTGCCATATGTCTCGCAATACACACCACAACAGCTGTATTTCCTCTCATACGCATCCGTACGTTATGAACGACCCTTTTGCTCATAAATAATTACATTTGTATTTGAATTTCACTCATAGACTAAATGCAGTCTCATCCGACAATTAGCATTAAACGCTACGATATATAGTGGATCTCACAGTCCCTACAAATACCGGGTTAACGTTCCCCTATCCAACTTTCAGCCCTTTTCCGATGCCTTTAATTGTAAATCTAATTTTCCAATGAATAGAAAAAATAAGTGTATTTTGTGGTGATATATAACGTATTGTATGTATTTATTATTATGTACATTTTATTTTATATGTAAAATGTAACCAAATATGTAAAGTTCTAACAATATTTATGGTTCTATTATGTAACATATGTAACATGTATTACTGTATATTATGTAATATATACAGTACAAGTAGTAATGTTAGAACTTATAAGGATTATAAAATGAAATAATTTGAAATAAGTGGAACTCACCCATAATTTATATCTAAAGGATATATCCAGTCCTTTTATAAAAATAAACTCGAATGTCCCTTTACATTTCCCTTCACATATGATTCATATTTGACATACAGTATGACAATACATCAATTATATGACTTATATGACACATTTCAAATAATTGATTGCATGTTTATAGTGAATACATTTATTATATAAAATTGCGTAGACTTAAGCAAATGGCTATATTTTTTAAAGGGCAATACTATAAAAACTCCAATACAGTACAGTATGTGAAATATTTATCTGTATGATTTGAAATGACATAATTATTATGTTTTTTCAGCAAAATTGCAATAATTGGTTTATAAGACAAAGTAATCTTTTAATAGCACACTCCTAACGTAATGATACTGGTATATTTAGTATAGAAAACTTCCTGACTTATATCGTATAAATATCAATTCAAAGCAAGCTTTATAAAGTATTTGCAAAATATTGTACTTGTTAAAATTATTTAAAAATGACACATCGCAAATATTTTAAGGTTATTTTGCAATTTGCAATTAGTTTAATTGCATTCATAATAATTGTGATTATTTTAATCGCCCGAAGCAAACAAACTATTGAACCCACACCTAACACCAATTTATGCCAATCACCTGTATGTAAATCCGCGGGAATGGCACTGAATGCCAATCTCAACGATTTTGTCGACCCGTGCCATGACTTCTATGCGTTCGCGTGCGGGGGTTGGGAGGCGTCCCATACATTGCCCGATGATAAGATGTGGTACAATAGTTTTGATATACTCAGAGATAATGTTTCCCACGCTATGAGGATATCGTTGAGTAAAAACTGGTCGACAAGTGATTCAAATGCTGTGACCTATGCCTCCGATCTCTATAAGGCGTGTATTGATGAAGGTTTCGGACATTCATTTCATTTGTATTAATAGTAAATTATTGACAATTTATTTATAATTGAGTTGTATTTGTATAGAAACACGTAATGCCCGGGGAATGACCCCTCTTATAGAGGCACTGAAATCAGTGGGCGGTTGGCCTATAATGGGACAGTCGGGTGGCTATAATGACAGTGAATTTAATTGGAAGGACGCGTTTGTGAAACACGTTATCACATCTAAATCGTCGCCTGTATTTGTACTGTCAGTTTTAAATGACTCTAAAAATAATGTTTTGAAACGATTACATGTGGGTCTTATATACAGTAATGTGTGTTAAAATGTTTTGATGATTTTGTTTCTATATTTAGTTTTCGAGACCAACATTAGGTATGTTTCGTAATCAATATATTAACCCCAATGGGTATACGAGTAAAATTAGGGGCTACAAGAAGTATATACTCCAATCGGTGAACCTATTGGCGGCTAATAATTACAATTCTACACAAATCAATGATGACATTAATAATATATTGGAGTTTGAAACAAAATTGGCTAAGGTACTAAGAATCAGCATATTATTAAAACAATTTAATGTTTATTGGAATTTTAGTTTTCAGTTACTAATATATATGAACCTGTTACATTTGAAACATTTAATGAATTGATGAATAATTCTGTCGATTGGCTGAACATAACAAACACTGTATACAAGGAATTGAATGAAACAATTCGTATGAAAAGCGATGATTTGGTGTTCATTCAAGACATTTATTATTATATAAATGTGACACAACTGTTGACCACAACTCCCAATAGAGTTATTGCCAACTATTTCGGCTGGAAATTAGTTATGAATTTGGGCTCACATACCACCAAACAGTTCAGGGATATTAGTTTTGAATTCAACCAATTATTTACTGGGCTGGAAAAGGATGTCGAGTTGTGGAGGAGCTGTACGGCCAGCATATCGTCTCAATTGCCATACGTTTTGAGTCGTCTATACGTTGACCAACACTTCACACAAAGTGATAGACAAGAGGTTTATGAATTAATTTTATGTATTGTATTCATTAATATATTTTTTAAATACATTATTTCAGGCTTTAAATTATGTACGAGATGTTAAGAAAGCTTATTATGAGTTGATTGAAGGGAACGACTGGTTGGACACAAACACCCGCTATAGAGCTCTAAATAAATTGAAAAATATGAATGAACTTGTTGGGTATCCCGATTGGGTGCTTACTACACATAAACTGGATAACTATTATCAATTAGTACTTTTTGATTCAATCATTATTATAATTTTATTGACCTTTGAATATAAATATACAGAAACTTAGAGTGAATCCCAAGAAGTCATTCGAGGCTATGGTTTATATGCAAAGCAATAATGTCTTACGAAATATGCAATCAATTGGACAACTCGTGGACACAATTAAAGAGTATTTAATGACAATTCTCTAAATTTATTGCTTTATTAAATTACTGATTGATCTAATAGTTGGCCACAATCACCTATCAATGTGAACGCATACCACGATTACGAATCCAATTCTATAAGTAATATAACCAGCTTAATAAGTTTCTAAGATTAAATTAATATGCTCGATGAGTTTAAACGAAATTTTATAAATTCGTAAATTTTTACCCGCATTTACGAAGTAATAATTGTATATAATAGATTGATTACCTGTTTGCACAAATGTAAATGCGGGTTTCTATAGCATTGCTTGCAAGCCTTGTTTAAAATTAAATTATTTACATTTATGATAATTTCTATCGTTTTAAGTATTGCCGGCCACTATTCTGAAACCACCTTATCTATATAGCAATGGCCCGGCTGCCATCAACTATGGGGCCATTGGATGGGTAATTGGATTTGAATTACATCAAAGAAATCATAATTTTTAAATAATAAAATTATTATTTCACAGACTATCGGACACGAGCTAACTCATGGATTTGATCATTGGGGTCAGTATGGATTACCATGTACATTTTCTTTAAGATTAATATCGGATATTATACATTAGGTGTTAAATACGATTCAAAGGGAAATCGAAATGATTGGTTACAAATATATTCAGAAGTAACGTACCATGAAAAGGCAAATTGTTTTATCCAACAATACTCGAGTGAATACGTACCGAAAGTTCATATGAATGTATGGATAATATATAGTGGGGTTTGGGATGTGTTTCGTATATTTAGTGTTAATACAGTTGTCATGAATTGAATGATTAGTTGAACGGAAGGAATACTTTGGGAGAGAATATTGCGGACAACGGAGGCCTCAGAGAGTCGTTCCGCGCGTTTCAGACGTACGTCAAGACATACGGAGAACCACTACGACTGCCATATGTCTCGCAATACACACCACAACAGCTGTATTTCCTCTCATACGCGTCCGTACGTTATGAACAACCCTTTTACTCAACAATAATTATTGTATATTTAATATTTACTCGTAGACTAGATGTAATCTCATCCGACAAACAGCATTAGCCGGACAAATATATAGTGGATCTCACAGTCCCAACAAATACCGGGTTAACGTTCTCTTATCTAACTTTCAGCCCTTTTCCGATGCCTTCAATTGTAAACCCAATTCCCCGATGAATAGGAAAGACAAATGCATTTTGTGGTGATATATAACTTATTTTAGTTTTTCAATATTTGATGTAATAACTGATACGAAATAAAATAATGTTCACTTCTATCTACTGTCGGGAAAAGTTGAATAGCTTTTGAACGGATAATCCAATTTTTAATACGTTTTAACTAAATTGTAACTTGATAATGTCACAATCTGGTGATATACTATTTGCTATACAAATTTATCAGGATAAATTAGTAATTAAATTTCAAAGTTTTACCACATTTCTCATTGAAATTACATGGAGTTTTTCCTACATTTTTCATAATATAGTCTAACCAGTCTCAATTTTTAATTGACTGTATCTTGGTCATTTTTATTGAGCTTTTTAAAATTCCAACGCAACACAGTTGTTTGTCATTAAAATGCACGTCTTGTCAAAATATTAATTTTTAAAATTTAACAATGTCTTTCTAACTTTTTAACCATATATACTAGAACAAATTTGGTTAGAAATTGGAAAGAGCATAAAAATATAATTAAGATAAGCTTTTAAAAACAAATTTGTAACTACTACTTTGTAAATTTAATAAATTTATAATACTAATAATAACGATTGAATATTTTTTAGTTAATTTAAGCTAGTTAGCTATTGAATCATATATTTAAAATTAATATGAAATTCAAATCTAGACAAATACCGGGTTAACATTCCCTTATCTAACTTTCAGCCCTTTTCCGATGCCTTTAATTGTAAATCAAATTCTCCAATGAATTGAAAAATAAATGTATTTTGTGGGGATATATAACTTATTGTATGTATTTTTTATTATGTACATTTTATTTTATTTGTAAAATATAACAAAATATGGAAAGTTCTACCTATGTGTCTATTATGTAACATAAGTAACATTTATTACTGTATATTATGTAATATGTACAGTACAAGTAGTAATGTTATGTTATAACTTATAAAGATTATAAAATATAGTAAAATAATTTAAAATAAACGGAAATCAGTCATAATTTATTTCTAAAGGATGTATAAAGTCATTTTATAAACAAGGTCGAATATACCTTTGCATTTCCCTTCACATATATGACACATATATGACTCGTAATGATATATTTAGTATTAAAAAACCTTCCGATTTATATCGTATAAATATAAATGCAAAGCAAGCTTTATAAAGTATTTGCAAAATATTGTAGTTAAAATTATTTAAAAATGACACATCGCAAGTATATAAAGGTCATTTTGCTATCAATTAGTTTAATTTCGTTAATAATAATTGTGATTATTTTATCCGTCGGACACAAACAAACTATTGACCCTACACCTACACCTACACCTACACCTACACCTACACCTACACCTACACCTACACCTACACCTACACCTACACCTACACCTACACCTACATTTACACCTAT